GTAATTTTGCCGCTTTTAATCAGTTAAAACGAGTGCTCTTATTGCCGGCGCTTGAGTTTTCAGCTATCCAAATTTTAAATACTTGCCAAATATTCGCTTTACTTACTCGAATATCTGGATACTTGTTTAGCCTTGTGTAGCTAACAGTGTATCAAGAAATAATTCGTATTTGTCATTTATTTGTTATTTAATTAAATATCGAATATTCGGATATCCGTTTATAGGAAAACCTATAGTTACGAGTTAGAAACGGTTATAGCGCGGTTACTTTGTTATAGATATCTCATTCAACAGCTAGGTTGGGAAACTCAAGATTCCTTAAAAGGTACGTTGTTTTAAAAGCATACGCTTTCGTTATGTTATAGGAAAGTCGCTTTCTCAACTATTTTATTTTTATTAAATTTAATAAATGAGGTAATTAAAATTTTATATATTACTTTCTCAACTGTAACGAATTGTTACTAAATGTTTGGAATTATTTATCAATGGATGAAGAATTAATTATTTGTGGATTATGAGCAGATATCATTTTATATCTATCAAAAGAGCAGTATACATAGCAGGCCATGATCACAGACCGTCAGATCGTTCTTTTTTTTCTGCGCGTCATGCAAAACATGACGCTCCAATTTCTATCTATCACGCTATGCAAAACGTCGGCCTGAAATAGGTTAGTGAATGACAAATGAGATCTTCCTCTGTTTATATTCAGCTTTCGGGGAAGCACGCGGATATCCCGTCGAACGCGACATTTATCTCACCGCGTTGCAGGAGGTCCAACGCGGTGAGAAGATCGACACGAGTAAAGTCGTTCTGACCCCGGATTCCATCGGCGTCGTAGCCACGTCTAGGAAGATTCCGTCGAAGATGCGTTCGCTGTTGAAAAACTCGGCAGGCCGACCGATGGGGCCGCCGAAGTTTCCGATGTCGCGACGAGGTTTCGCGAACGGTGGGCCGTACTCGCCTCAGAGATTCGGTATCGCGGGTCCACCGCCGGGATTCGGCCCGATGCCACCACCTCCGCCCGGTATGCCGCCTATTCCGCCGATGAGTCCGCCGCTCTACGGACCCAGGCCGTTTAGGTATGGACCGCCGCCGATGCGCCAGGCGATGCCACCGACGCCGCTTCCCGGCCCAGGGGGTTTCCCGCGTCCCGGTTTTCCGCCGCGTATGCCAGTCCCGCCGAGGATGGCGGGTCTACCGAGATTGCCAGCCAGCCCAGCCGCACGGTTACCGCCGATGAAGATGCCACCGCCACCGCCTCCGCCTTCCAGAACAATCAAGCAGCAGCTTCAAGCGCAGAAGAAGCAGCAGCTTAGAAATGGAATCATGGAGCGCGCGGTGAACATTCGCCTAAGGCGGAACGGGCCGGCCAGCAGCAGAATCATACCCAAAGCGCGTAAGGAACAGGACTTTACCGTCGACACGTTCGAGGAGAATCTGCTTACGACCACGATTGTCGCGCAACCGCGACGACAAACAAGAGGACGCTTTAATCAAGTCAAGTGACGATGTACTCGTTAGGAATCCGATGATACTTAAAACCCAGATTTTTTTTTCCGTTTGACATATCGCAGTTAAAGCAGAGGTTCACAGTGTCCAAGATATCTCGTGCTTGTAGTCGCTGTCCTGTGACGTATAGAGATACCTAACAGTTTACACGATAATTTTTGAACTTGGACATCAATAACACATTCTCTGTCTCTCCCGTAAACATTTTACTGATGTATTTTATATTGAACACAACACTAATGACCGAACTTCATGGAAAATAATATCAGAAATCTCACGATGTCCATTTTTTTTTTAGCTTATGTCTATGTACACGTAATTTTATTTTAGTAATTAAACAATTATTATTACGTTATTTAAACGTAATAGTAGAATTTTTATTAAGGTTATTCATAGACATGATATCGTGGGATTGACGTGCGACAGAAGCCATTTGGGAGTATTTATGTAATAAATAGTTGTTTGTATGTTGTTTAACAGAAAAAGCGAAATATTATGTATAAAAATAGGATTAAAGGCAGAACTGTCCATGACTCTTATACTATCATTTATAGATTGAGTATAACACGTCATTAACGTGACTTCTTATAATTTGACGTTAATTTGACAAAATTTCAGTTTAAACATTTAATATTGTTGTGTTTAGCATTATACGAATTGCAAACACTTAATCTATTGACAAATATTATATTCAAAACTGATTAATGACTAAAAATCAAAATAGATAGTAATGAGCGGACAGTGATTTTGTGTACAATTTTAAATAAAATGTGTGCATTTAGATATAAGAGATATAAGAGATATACTATTATAAAATCAAATTAAGAGTTTTTTTTATTCATTTACAATCGGGAAATCGCAATTATCTTCATGAATGGGCTAGGCGAAAATACAATTCTGAAATCAATGCTTTTAGCAAGACTCAATATTGGTTAACTAACTGCAGTTGTTGATTATTGCAGGTTACCAGTACGGGATTTCCGCCAATCTGGAAACCTATTAGATATTAAATTTTATTCTTTTTAATACAACGTAATATCATTCTTGTCATATTGAATTATGAGCGAGTTTTACACTTTTCTTTCGATGTGACTTATTATATCCTTCTATATTATATCCGATACGCAATCAATTCTTTTCTGATCGCTATAAATCTGTTCTCGGGGAATTACTTCTCGGGGGGAATTACTTCCTATACTAACACAGGGATCGAATGTTTTACGAGGATGCTCGATGGTAAAGTAGCTTGGTAGTTCGACGTTGTCGTTGCTATGCTATAAGATTACGTAGACAGGTACGCGCGTGGCGCGAACGTAATTGAACGTACGTCTGGAAGATCGGAGCGGGCCACGGCTGGTCGTGCATCGTGTATCTCGTTCCGAGATATTAAAGTGATTCAATATTCGGACCGGAGTCAAAGGGTCACGCGTGTAGGAGGGACACGTCTCTCGCGCGCCTGACCATATATCACGAACTGCCGTTGGCGTACATGGAATAATTCCACGAGAAATTGCACGCGTCACACACGAGTAACGCCTTGGGCCTCGGGGGCTTTACCCGGCGGCCTTAAAAGTGAGACTTGGTGATAGGAAGGGCATAAATTAAGTGCGCTCGTATGCGCGTTTTATATGGCGTGCTGCTTCCCTCTCGCCTGGTAGATAAGCATTGCTCTGCTTGTAATGACGAGTAGCAAATTTCGGCGAACAATACTACAAATCGATAGCAAGTGAACGACATATACTACGTTTGCGCGAGCGTTAATTCTGTAGTAACTTACGATAATTCACTCGTTTACGCGGAGTAAATTATCGTAAGTTACTACAGAAGTAACGCTCGCGTAAACGTAGTAATATGCTATAATTGACGTGGATTGAGAAATGTAATTCTCAGATTATAAATAATCCTAACTGTAAAATTGAATTTAGTAAATCAGATACATTTGATATATCTGAGTATTATGGCTATAAAAAAAAATTGAACTTTTAATGCGTTAACTCGTCAAAAATGATGCTTACATAGTGCAAAGATAAGACATTTAATAGTGTAAATTCAAGGCTAAAATATGAAGAGATTAGAAGAAATTGTTAATAACACAATGTCATAAAAATCATACTTTTTTCTGTGAAGTATTTGGTTGCACTGGAGATAATAGAACATCAGATACAGCGCGTGAATCGTTTGCTTTCATCATAGTCAAATCAATATCGCGTTCTAAGTTATGCTCTTAGACATAACGCAGGCACACTTTGGACCTAAATGTCCGAGAAATAGAGAAGAAGACAGATAGAGAAAGAGAAAAAGAGAGGAGGGGAACGATGACGACGAACGACGACGACGAGAAAAGAGGTCGTCGTGGATAGAAGGAATTCGAAAACTTTCTCAGAGGTGGAAAGATCGTCGCCCTTCTCGCCACACTCCCGGCTCACGGGAGACAATCCGAAAGTAACTTCTGGTGCGGGCTACTGGCGCCATGGGAAACAATCGTCCATCGCGATCGTTGGGCGCAACCGTGCGCGCGAGACAACTGTTTCCCCGGGGTCCCCCGTACCTATCTCTCAGTTAGACATTAGATTTATCGACATATTTTCTCAGTCTTTTGAGAGACTTTATTTACTTTTGTACAACGTCGTCTACCTCGCCTTCGTGCACCGCTGCTGCACGCGCGACTACCCGCCTTGTTTCGGACTGCGCCGGACGCTGGTCGATCAGATCGGAGGGGGATAGCAGAAACGGAGGTTTTAACCAGGAAACTGATCGGTGTTTGTATAAATTCTATTTTGAACAGAAGAGAAGATATGCGTGACGATCGAGAATTGGTATAGGAATTGAATAAAAATCGAGGGGCTTGAGGGGAACAACATGTTATATCACGCAAATTTGTCCGAATCAACATTTGAAAGGAACTCTGAATTATTTATTACTATTACTTATGTCGTAATTATTCGCAAAATATACGTGAGATTTTTTTGAATTTTTTGATTATGCTAACAATATGCTATTACCTCGAGTTTTATGAATGCATAATGAGATCCCATCTTTGATACGTGGACTTTCGAGCATAGAGCAAAAAGATGTTTACTCAAGTGTAACGCAGTACAATTGATTATGATTTAAATGGATGTTAATAAGTACTGAGTTGGAACGATAACTTTTTTTTTAGGTATTGACAGAAATTTCTATTATTACGATCGTAATCGGTGCAGGGTTACTGCGAACGAGAAGATTGCATGATCTAACTACTGCGTGATTGTCCGAAACGATCTTTCGGGTGCGTTTCGACGGAACTTTTCAAATAATTCGTAAAAACCCGCAGAGGGACAAACAAGTCCATAAAGACCTCGCGTCATCTCGCTGTTTCTTCTTCCTCACGTCCAGTTTCCTCTTTCGATCAGTCGTTTTACATTTCTTTGAGGTGCGATCTATCAGAAACACAGATCACAAATCAGATAATTCGTATGCTTATCTAATCCGTATGCGCACTATTACCTGATTCGTATGCGCATCAATAATAAATTGCAGACTGAGACAATCGTTAGAAAAAATAGATGAGTTTAAAGGAAGAAATAGTGCAAAATATTTCTGCAAGATTAATTTTTGATTTTTGGTTGATTTAAAAAAAAATTTTTAACGTTGTTTTATATATATTTACGCTTAGCCAATAGATTACTTCAATAAATATAGCTAAATTTCATACATGTATAAGGATGAATAATATCTTAATATGTATTTTTATGAAAACGAAGTATATTTTTTATTTCTTAGTTATCGAAATCAAGTAAATAAAAAGGAATATGGAAAAGTGTCAAAATCTAAATCAACTTTCCGTTTTTAGATAGCAAGGTTCACAATTTCGCAGAATAAATCGCTATGAATCTCCTTTAATTCACCTATTTTTTGCACAGATTGAATGCTATAATTCACTGACGGAGGGATCGACAGCGAGTTCCCTTTCGTCCGACGTGGCAATTAGTCCCGATTAATTCCTCAAAAATCAAAAGGAACGCGCGCGTGCTCTGCGGTAGGTATAGATCTTTTAGGGTAGGGACTTCGGGGAGTCGAATAGAAGGCTAAAAGCTAACCACACACGTGGTTCGAGCGATCTAGCTTCTCTCACTCTCTCTCTCTCTTTCTCTCTCTCCGTGTCTCTTCTCTATTTCGTAGATCCTCTATTCTGTGTATCCTCCGGCCTATGTACTACGCGTATGTATGCGCGTCTCTCTCTCGTTGGCACGCCAATAACGTTGCGTGGCAGTGCACTTTAATGCCGCGGCGCGGCCTACTTAGCGGCCGGCTTGATTAACATGGAGTGATTAATAGTTGCTCCCTCCGTTCGTAACCAACCCCAACAGCGGCGGCATCGGAGATCTAATCGCACGATATTTATTGCCCTGCGCGTCGTCCACCTCGGGGCCCTCGGCCACGGCGATTTTGCGAGCCCGCGCTCCCTCCTTCCCTTTAGCCCTCTTCCACGTTCTCCTCTTTTTCGATTTCGTTTATTTTGGTTTTTATTTTCGTCTCACATCGGCTCACTCGGAGCCGGTCCGCGGGCTCCTCTCTTGCCTTCCTGAGTTTCGGCCTTCTCAGCATCGCCTGAATTCCTCTTGGTTCCCGTTTCAGCTCGAGTTGTTATTTAAGTTTAATGATATTTATTATTTACGCGACATACGGCAAGTATATAATATCAGTTTTAAACAAACGAGATGTAAGTTATTTATAAATTTGTTTTAAGTTTATGCTTTTCTACTTTCGGTGACGTTGTGTGTTATTTAAAACTGTTCATATATATATATATATATGATTGTATATTTATAGCCGTGTGTTTTTCGATTCTAATTTCATTTGAATAAAAAAATCTGTCTATGCTTTTCGATAAATTCGACTTGATACGCTGTTGGCGGGTTTTGCGCGAGAGACATATCTATCTCGTTTGTTCCCCCTTTACATGTTGCGTCAGCGTTACGCGCGCGTTGGCGCCGCATTCGTCTATCCAATCTGTAGCCGTGTTTACAATCCCAGCTTCGACGGCTTGCAATTGTTCTGATCAGGGATGACTATTTGTAAATAGATACGAACATTTTACTTCTTTGTATCGATTTTACAAAGTTATCACGGAGGTATCGATACCAGAGGTGATAGATATCCTCGAGAAACGTCGAAAAGAAAAATGATAAATAATATGATTATTTTTATAGCAATTACATTCGAAAATATCGTGTCGTAGTTTGATATAATTTAAGGTATTGTTTAAAAATGCGTACCCCTACATCTACAGATGTAATATATATTTGTCTGTTCAATGCAACATTGTAATAAAAGAGGGAGATTTATTTAACTTTTGTACTCAATTTTACGTATAATCTGCACGAAGAAAACGTCATATTAATAGAATATCGTTTCTCAATCGTGAGAGTTATAAATGTCACATTTTCTATTAGATATTTGATAAGGAAATACACTGACGAGCAAAGTACACATCGATTATGTAATATGTAATTAAGATGCTAATACATTTATTAACGTATAAGATCGATCATAAACCATGAAATTTAGACGTTAATAAAATATTCATCAACGATAACAGTCTAACAATGGCAATGTCGCGGTCACGCTCGGTGTCGATAGACAGAATCGTCGTACGTCAATACGCCCAGCGGCTTCCCGTGGCGGCTATTTATACGCCCGTCTCGGACAACGAGCCGATAATTAAGACGCTGTGTAATTAGCGATTAACGCGCGTTATTAACAGCGCAAACAGTGCGCCGTCGGCGAGTCGGCGCGCCATATGGGGGCCTTAGCGAGCCGCAGCAATGGGCGGATACCGCGCGAATACAGATATCGCCGATACATTTCGTCGTGCATACGAAAGACATTTCGATCTCGCGCGCGGGTCGTCGCGCGCTCGGGTTTCACCGCTTACGAGGCACCGTGGACATTTGGATATACGTAGGACGCGTACGTGGTACAGGCACGAAGTTCACGCACGAAGTGCGTCGTTCGCGGAAATTAAATCCTCTAGGAATCCGGTGAACTTAATCAGTGGCGCACGGCAGACGGAATATTTTCACGGCCGCATCAGTTCTGAAGAGGAGATTTTCCATCTGGTAAGTGCCTGACCTGCTTTGTCCGTCGTATTCAAATATTTGAAGGTATATTGTTATATATTTAAAACAAAATGGACGATAAAATGTAATAGTTTTACGTGTTAAATCTTAGGAAAGTTTATATTAAACGTACATACTTTTTTTGTACATCTTGAAAACACTATTAAGAAAGTAAGTAAGAAAATATATTCATTTTGATATGTTACTGCCAATTAATGCATTATTAATGTTAAATGGCAATCAAGCTGCGACGACTTCAGTAACAGTAGCATATGTAGTACGATAATAATCGTGACACAGTTATCATTTCCAATTTGAGATACCGTTATCCGGCGAGAACACGGAGCTAACGTAGTGTTATACCTGCCGCGCAAACGAACTTCTATTCATGAACCACGGCAATAAATATTCGTCTATCTTACCTTAGTGAGGACGATCGAGAAGGTGCGTGTCTCGCGTGCCGTAAATACGAGAAAGCGATAGTCGCAATTGTGATCGGGAGAGGCGACATTGTCTCCGATGGTCCCGATGTCCGCCTCCCACGACATTGTTGGACGGCCTTATTATCCCCGAGCCCTTTGATCGATATGGACAGATATCGATAACGGTGCGATGTTTATCGTGCGGGTAGGCTCGGATAAACGCGTACGGTGTAGCATTACACAAAGAACGGTGATGCATTGCCCGATGGTGGTGTCGGTGTGTGGAAGGAGAGGGGAAAAAAGAGAAAGAACCAGGAGAACATCTTGTCTTTCTGTAGTCGTAGGTGTAGCCTTAAAAGGGCTACGAAGAAAGCTCCTCGCGTTTGTGCACGGCATCTTTACGCGGTTACAATTTGTACGATATTCAGAATAGATATATGTATACATATGTATGGAGGGGTAAAAATCAGAGTGATGTAAGTCAAATTTTTTTAAATTTTTTTTCGTGTGTTTAGATGCAATTTATATATTGTAGAAATTGCATCTATGCACATGAGAAAATATTTAAGAAAATTTGACTTACACCACTCTGGTTTTTACCCCTCCATATGTTCGTGAAAGATCAGCAGAATGATCTTTATGGACTTGATTTACCATGATAAATTTTTAGTGTAGTTATTATAAAAATTAATGAAGAATTTTTGATCAATTAACGTATTATAGATTGTAAGAACGTTTTAACTTGGTATCACTCAATATATTTACATTCATGTACACGATCGATGCTGTATTACAAATTCGCTAAACCAAATGTTGCGGCGAACACCATAAATTGATGTCCGTCACTCCACGCTCAACAGATTAATCCTTTAACGCCGTCGTAGGGCGCCATAGCTCGTATCCAATCGATTTCCGCCTAGTGTTTGAAAGTCACGATTCGATAAAGATTACTTCGAAACTAATCTTGATACTCATGGAACTTATTTTACGTTAGAGTAAATTAGAAGTGTTGATTTTGCTTCTTGCCAAATTTTGTACTTTACTTTCGCAAATAATATAAAGATGTAAATTCTAATTTTTTTGAATGGAATAGAGCTATATTCCAAGAAATAATGAAAGGAGATAGCACGGGTTGTGAAAGGGACGTGTTGCAGGGTTCGTCCCGCTGATTCGTGTATCGATATCAGATCTGTCGAAACGAGCAGCAGAGCCGGCCGAGCTCGTAATTGAAATAAATTCCTTTGCGCGAAAAGAGTAGCGGCCGATGGCAACGAGATACGCCGCGCACACGCGTAGAACGCCGCATTAACGGCCGGAACTGTTATCGACGTCTCTATTAGGGAGCTCTCTCTCTCTGTCGACGAAGGAGACCCTTCTACCACCCCGACCAACACTGTCGGTTCCGTTTCCGAATTTAATATCTCGCATCATCAATATATACGGAATTCGTCGCGCCAGCATCGATCCGATAATCGATACGCGGTATATCTGGAGGCAGCGACTGAAGCGGATGACGGATTCGTTTTCCGTCGTCGAAATGCGGAGGTGTCTGCTGAAAGTGCTCATGTAAGAATCCTAGAGACCGCTCAATTTATTTGAGTACTATGTCTATAATTTATGAACCGCTATTGGATATTTGGATAATTTCGCTTACGACCGCGCAGCATCGTTGATTTTAGCATCGTTCTTTTTTACTCGGAAATTATAATATTCGTGCATAAAGTTAGCTTATCTGAAGCTATAATCGGCTACCAATTACACGTCAGTCAGGAACGTGGCAATTCTCGTGGAATGCAATACGTAATACGTTATAGTAGACGTAATAACCGATCCCGATCGGTGACAGGAGCGGCGGACTAAAGATCAGCGGACAGCTCCCATTCGAGGAAAGAGAAACGAAGTGGCAGGCGAGAGAGGATAATAACGTAGGTAGCCTGCGGCACTGGATGATTAATAAATCAGGCATGCCGTTGAGAGAACAGTTTAACCTGCGACCCCGGCACGATGCATCGCGCTCCTTTTCATTTTTCCTCGTTCCCCATCCTATTCGCATCGCGCGGCGCGGCGCGGCGCGGCGCGGCCTGCTCTCACGCGGCGCGTGAATCCTTTTCGCGACGGCTTAAACGGACTCCTCGTGTCGGACGGCGCTTCTATCTCTCTCTCCGCTCGCTCACGGCGTTACAGATACGTGTGGCTAATGGCCCTTTCCCACAGGCCTTAACTCTGAATGTTAATTGTTGCTTAAATTTATGACAACCCGTCCCCTCCATCTCTCTCCGCTCCTCCTTCGACCTGGTCTTTCCCGTCGGCTGGCTCTTCGTTCCACCCCATTCCGAATAACCATGGCTATTCGTTGCCGACGAAACCGCGAAACAGGCCCGATGATTAGCGATTCGGGAATATCGGTACGAGGTGTCGTGACAAAGGCAGCGGGAATTAATGCCGGGGAATCTCCGTTGTCGCGGAACTTTGAACTTGCGGCGCACTGGAATTTGCGATAGTAATACCGAGAGTGACCTACGTACGATTGCACAATAATGTTTGTGACGTTTAATTAAGGCGGCGCTAATGAATATCGATGATACTGTTGTTGTTTGCTTAGTAACGTGAAACGTATGAAACATTTTATTCAGCAAATACGCACTATACAATATGTATGTATCTATATACATATGCAATACATGTACAATAACGACCAGTATACTTTTT